GGGGGGGGGGGAGCAGTCTGAGAGATAATAGGGTGGTCTCCACTGCTTACAGAGTGGGCTTTATGGTTGAGTTGGTATAGATTGAGCCACTCTCTCCTCAGTGGTGTGTGTCGCCGCAGTCTATTCACCTCCAGCCTGAAAGTGAGCTGCCGAATTCAGCTAATAATTCAAGAGCAAGGGCCAGGACTTCTTGTTATATGGGAATTTGGTGAGGATCCAACAAAAGAATATAGTGTGAACAAAGTTCAGTAAATATTAACTCCAGAAAATGAACTTTATTTCTTACTATTTGTAGTTTATAGCGTATATTAAATGTCTCTGTCCCTGTCTGTCTTTCTGCTCGTAATTTATATAGTGTAATCAACACAATACATCATTTTACAATGCACAATTTAAAGAGAGCTTAACCTATATGGTGGCCCTGATAGCTCATTGCACTGCACATTAAGAAAGCAGCAATTCAAAGACAAACAAATACAAAAATCATATAAAGAAAGAAAATGAAAAAACAAGGGCCAGGATTTGCAATATGGGAATGTGGTGAGGATCCAACAAAAACATTTAGGGTCCAAAAAATGAATTGTTGTCCATTTTAACTAGTTTGTTAATAGCTAATAGCTTAACCCTCCTGTTGTCTTTCGAGGCTGCACATGTGTAGACTCCGCGGTCTTAAAATCCCCACAATGCTTTGCACACGGACCAATTTCTCCAAATCTGTGGCGGAAAATGTAAGGCGGGGCCTCTCATATGACCCACACTTGCTCGCCTGTTCCACTCTTCGTTTTCCGAATGCCAGGAAGGATTCTTACCTCGCTTCTGAAGCAAGTGACTCGGAAGACATGTGCTACCAAGCAAGCGTACTCGACATTGAGAAACACCCTCACTGTTTGATGGCTTGATAACCCACACCCCCTCCACACCGCTCCACATTCGTTGGTTTGGAACAGCACTTAATGTGGCGGACCCTCCGCGCGAACGGAGGGGTAGTGTGTAGGGCGTGGTTTGGGATTGGGCCGAATTCACAAGACAATGCGACTTTAGCCATTATATTTTTTAAATAAATGGCCTAAGTCACACTCTTGACATAGGCCATTATACTATCAGGGTAGGAACAGCACTATCCTTTCAATAAGGATGTAGGCAATTGTACCAGAGGTGGCCAGCATCAAGAAGAGATGATTTAAGCGGAAAAAAAATGTTCTCCAAAATATGACTTTGGCCATTAGTTGAAGAAGGTTATATGTAGAAAAGGGCGTGAAATATGCTCTTATTTTTGAGCAAACAAGCTGAGTTGAACACACTTCACTTCAAAATAATCATCTGAGAATTTGTCTCGTTTATATGTACCATGTTTTCTTGGTTTTCCACTTTGAGTTTCTATCTTGGTAACATAATGCTGGGTTTACAAATACCACAATGGGCGTAAGAGAAAACACATATTGTGGGGTTTTATATATTTGTTCTTTGGCATCTCATCAAATAGGAAAACATGGCTATCTGTAGCTACTTGTCTGATAACATTTACTTGTAAATTTGATAGTTTGATAATATGTTATATGTAGAAAAGGGCGTGAAATATGCTTTAATTTTTTAGCAAAACTGCTGAGTTCAACACACTTAACTTCAAAATAATCATCTGGGAATTTGTCTCTTTTATAAGCACCTTGAGATGACACTGTTTTTAAAGTGTGCTGTATAAATGAAATGTATTATTATATGTACCATGTTTTCTTGTTTTTTCTACTGTGTTACCAAGATAGAAACTAATGGGCGTGAGACAAAAAATAAACATATTTCGGGGTTTTATATATATTTTCTTTTTTATCAAATAAAATAACTAAGGAAAACATGGCTATCTGTAGCTACTTCAACCAACTCACATTGTGCATTGCATGTTTTTAATTGAATATGCACGTTGTATTTCAGGGCAAGAAAGGTGAAAGTGGATTGCCTGGAGTGGACGGGCTTCCTGGAGTCCCTGTGAGTACAAAATAAATGTGCATATTAGCAACACACTTGTTGATAATGACCTCTTATTTATGCCCGTGCTTGTTCTTCACATCGGGGAGGATAATTAATTTGGTATTTGAATTGCTCCATATTTAACAGAGTAACCTCTCTCTCAAAGGTCTCCTCACCGTGTGTTTTGATAAGAGGGAATATATACAGGCTAGATTGAAATCAACAGGTTGTCCTAATCATTTCCAAACTGCTCCCTGGAGGAAATAGCAATACACTTACCTTTAGGTGCTGTAATACCGCCCCCTAGTGGCTGCTTTCATGTACACTGTCTAGTTGTGTACATACATAAAAGTATATATAAAGTACATATATATACCTTCAAAAACCATTATATGCAGTGGCAGAATTTGATTAACCACATTTACCTAATTATTAAGTAGATGTTTGAGGTACTTGAACTGTCATTTATTGTAAATGTTTGCCTCTACTCCACGACATTTTGAAAGCCTTTAGTTACTTTACAGGTTCAGATTATTAGAGAAAACTAAATGTGAATTAACTAATGGATAGACAGTGACATATAATTATATTTTAAAATCATCAGCAAAGTAATTCAAATTATCTCCACATTTACTAACTACGATGAACAAATGAATGCATCAGTCATCATAATACTGTCATTTATATACATATCATTTAATATATTATATATCTGAAATGTGCCATAAGGCATAACAAAACATTTTGGTACCTACATATTATATATTTTGATTTCAATACTTGTTTTGTTTTACTTTAAATGCATGACTTGTACTTGTAACAGAATATCTTTAAATAGTATTACTGCTTCTATTAAAGTATACAATCTCACCACTGGTTATATAAGTATGTTCATTACATCATAACCAAGTGATTTATTTACATTATTGTACCTTTTCTTTGTGTTTTTGCAGGGTATTCATGGTCCAGCTGGGACAGCAGGAAGCAAAGGGCAGACTGGACCTCCTGTGAGTCTCTGAGGACACACTCTGTCTTAAACATCATCATTTGACAATTAAATCATGAATTAAACCTGTCTGTCTTCATGCAGGGTCTACCTGGTGAAATTGGATTTTCAGGCAAACACGGGGAGCCAGGGAAGTCTGTGAGTCGGCCTTTTGTTCTGAAATAACAGCATTTGATGTGAATACTACCTGAAGTCTTGGTGTTTAATCCCTGTTGTTGTTCCTCTGTCACTAAATGTCAAACCTTTCTCATCTTCAAAGGGTCTTTCTGGTAAAGACGGACTGGACGGTCTTCCTGGAAACGACGGTGCCACGGTCAGTGTGAACTTTAGAAAAACCTTTCCTTTATTTCTGTTCTGTACGCCCAACGTGCTCAGCAGAGGTGGAAAGTAGTGGAGTAGAAATACTTCGTTACTGTACTTAAGTAAATCTTTCTGGTATCAGTACTTTACTCCACCACTTATTTTTCGGACAACTTTTTACTTTGACTTCTTACATTTTGAACACAAATACCTGTACTTTCTACTTCTTACATTTTGAACCCAAATACCTGTACTTTCTACTTCTTACATGTTGAACACAAGTACCTGTACTTTCTACTTCCTACATGTTGAACACAAATACCTGTACTTTCTACTTCTTACATGTTGAACACAAATACCTGTACTTTCTACTTCTTACATGTTGAACACAAATACCTGTACTTTCTACTTCTTACATTTTCCAAACAGGCTGGTTCCTTTAGTTTGAATGTGTGTTTGGTGGCGTGATCATTATTATTTAGAGTCATTGCGTGCCTATTGATTTGAACATGATCCGTGTATCCATCATTTCCTGGTCTTCTCTAAAGAAGAGGGACCAATGAAAACGTTGTCATGTTGCCGTTGTTCAGCATGGAAACATTCATTAGCTAACAATGACATTATTGTTCTATTAATATAAAGGGAGGTCAGGTACTCTTTAAAACAGCTGCTAGTTATGGGTACTTTTTACTTAAGTACATTTCAAAGCTTCTGTACTTCTACTTGAGTAAAGAATGTGTGTACTTGTGCCATGTCTGACCTTGACTTTCTGCCTCATGTTTTTGTATTCATGTTTCTGTGATCTGAATTTTAACTTTTGTTCTTTCTTGTGAAGCACTTAGTGAATTTTATTTCTGTGAAAGGTGCTATACTAAATAAACGTATTATTATTTACCTGCACACTGGGACCACCATAGGGTTGTCTTTGATCTCTCTGAAGTGGCCCCTGTCCTTGAGGGCCTGCAGCACGGCCTTCCTGGCCTCAAAACGCTTCATGCCCTGGGGTACAGACAGAATACTTAAAAATGAAAATGCAAGACATGAAACTGCTACACCGAGCAAACTTGTGAGGAAGTCTGACTTTTTAGTGAGACGGTGGTGGAGACTCTGCAGGGGGAAGGGGCGATAATGAGACACTTTACCAGGAAGGGAGGGGGCACGTTAATGAGCAGGCCGTTCTCATCCAAGATGTTGATGAAGGCCAGATTGTGTCTCTCTCCAACCTCGTAGTCATTATGGTCGTGGGCTGGGGTGATTTTGACAGCACCTGAGCACAGAATGGTGCAGAGGGACAGGAGAGGGAAATACAGGCCATAATGAGGCAAGTGGCATGGCGTAACGACTTGTTATGATCACTTATTCTCAGCACACTGCAGCGCCACAGGCAGATTGGCTCGTCCTGTAACCATGCCTACCTGTTCCAAAGCTCATATCCACGAAATCATCGAAGACGATCGGCATTTTGCGGTCGCAGAAGGGGTGCAGCACCATCTTCCCCTTGAGATGCTGATACCTGGGGTCAGCGGGGTGCACGGATACAGCGCTGTCTCCCAGCATGGTCTCGATACGAGTTGTTGCCACGATCACCTCCTCGTCTAAGCAACAGAGAAAGAAGGAAGGTGTTACACAAGTGGCTCATGTTCTGAGCAGCGAATATGAACTGCTACCATCTAATTAGAGATACAGATTTCAGACTTGATCTGACCAATAAAGTATTATCATATCGTATCAAGGTGTTTGTTCGTTATATTCTCCTCTCCATGTGCTCACATACCTGTTCCGTCCACTTTGTAGGCGAAAGACACCAACACCCCGAACTCCACTTTCTCTTTGTAGCCAGGCACGGGCAGCAGCGTCCTTCCAGTGAGCTCCTTCTTATCCACCTGAAACCAACCGCAGATTTAATTAAGAGAGCACAGCATGCACAGCTCTGATCAAACTACCGGCTTATAACAAGTAAGGCTGGGTACTCAGGGAAAAAACTGATCATGTCATTTGCTATGAATTCCAAAATCATACTTCTTTTGTGTACCTTTACTTTCTGACTATAATCACATTGTAGAGGCCTTAAAGCCAATAGTTTAAGGCAGGGGTTCCCAACCTTTGTTGTGCCAAGGACCGGCAGATACATTAAAAAAAATTCGCAGACCGGTTGTCAATTTTAGCTGATTTTAATATTTACTCACCAGCAAGTGGCAACAGAGGCTAATTGTTTTTAACAGCCTGAAGAAATACCAATATGCATCCAAAACATATTAATAACGTTTAATATAACGCCCGGTACCGGGGGTTGGGAACCCCTGGTCTAAATGACAGAACTGCATTTGAATAAATAACGAGTTGAATCTTACCATGACCTTTCTGGCTCCCTGCAGGTTCTTCTGTCGGATCTCAAACTGAGCGTAGAGCAGCCAGATCTTAGCGAACGTGAACTGAGATAAAAGAAACAACATTATCAACATCTTGTATTAACTGTACCAACACTGATCACACCGGCACTGTGTCTTTAATACTCTAGCTAGGAACAGATCATTAAAGACTTGATCTAAGATAAAACAAATAATTACCTTTTTATGTGGGATGAGGTCCAGACTGGCCTGGTACACCTGCCTCGTTCTCTCTGGATCCTGATGGGAGAAAGCAAGAAGAGATATGTTTGACACGCATAAAAGGATCGTTATTATGCAGTTTGTTTTTCATTAACATCCTAATTAATAAGACAAGAAGCTGACTGGCTGAAAGAGAATACGTGAGCAAGTCAGTTCATTGGATTCCTTTGGCTTTTTGGGTTCACTTGTGTGAGCCCCGCCCCTCACAGCGCGCCTGCTGCTGGTCACATCCTTATGTAAACAAACACGCATGTAAACGGCAATTTATCGAGGTCAGAAAAGTTATCGTTCATTTTTATTTATCGTACGATAAGTCAATGAATTGCTTATCGCGACAGGCCTAGTCCAACTGTTATTTTTTATAAGATATGTTCTTACTCTATACCTGTGAATAACCTTATTTAACGCAATTCATGGTTAAGATCTTTAATTATATTGATAACACAAACCTTTTTAGATGTTATGGTCATTATGTAATTTACAATAAGCTAATTCTTACTTTAATTTCCTATGTTTATATATCAAAAAAGAAAATCTATTTTATCCTTACTTTCACTTCATTTATATAAATATTATTTTAGATTTTATTGCAGTTTTACTTTAAATTCTTGTGTTTATTTTCAAATGTTTACATGTATTTGTACGTATCATGAAAGATCATTTCCCCAGGGGTTAATTCCAGTACTCTGATTATTCACGATTCCTTTCTCCTTTATCTCCTGCAGTGAAATTAAGGTTATAATTAGACCCTCCAGAAAAATGCGAGAATTTACCGCATAATCAGCAAAATGGCGCAGATTTTTAAAAGGCCGCATAATCCCCGCATTTTTCCACAAAAAGTTGAGAAAAAAAAAAGTTGACTTGTCTTGACGTCATCAGCTCGCGCATCACAGAATTTAAACAACACTGTATAGAGTGAACGTGTGGAGCTCACACGATAGAGAAAACACCAAGATGAAAAAATCTAATCCATCTCATTTACCGACGAACATTTCTACTAAAGACCGGGCAAAAAGTGGGGGGAAACTATTCTGCACCCCGTGCAACTGTGTGTTGGAGCATAAGAGAAAATCGACGGTGACGACCCACTTTGAATCATTCAAACATTCGAAAATGCTTTCTGCTGCTGCGGACAAGAAAGCCAAACAACTCACGTTCACCGAGGGATCAACCTCCAAAACCCTTTAGAGGGCTACAAGAAACGAAGTGAGTAGCCTACAAGATTGAAGCTGGTCAGATAACGAACGAGTAAATGAAAACAGAATGAGGCGGAGAAGTGTGTGTGTGTGTGTGTGTGT